ATGAGTTCGACGAGTCAGGACAACGCCGACAATGCAGCTGACGTCATCGACAATTCAAGTCCGAAGTCGAAAAACATATTTCGGTGGTCAGGGGGAGGAACAGCAGCTGTTTTTCGCCTCTGCCCGGGAGTTTCGGAGAATAGCGACAAAGGTCTCGGCGAGTTACGACAAAGCAGCCGGGGGTGCTGGCGTCATACGCACCTGAGTTCGAGGTTTTGTTGGAGTTTCCAGGCAGTCCATTTTCGAAGGGGGGGAGAAAGAGCACTTGGCAATTTCCTGACAGCCTCGTCAGACCCTGACAGCACGATGAACGGTCGTTATCAATTTCACCGACATCGACGGTTTTCTACCCATCGACCTCTGACAGCGTGTCAGACCCCGCCCAGCATCGCGCTCATCTTCACCGTCCGATTCGAAACCTCCACATCAACGACTATCATTTAATCGCGTATTCAGTTCGGCACTTCAATCGCGATCGTCAGATCGACATCTAGGAAATTCTACGGCTGACATTCCAACTCTATTCAATTTCGCCTGGTCAACTAGTCAGCCTCGCGTCAACTCAAGGGTCAACGCGTCCTGCACCGTCAGATCCGTTTTCAACCGAGATCTGCAGTTTTCATGCTACTGCAAGACTCGACTACAGATAAGGGGGCCTTATCTAGAAGGTGGGAGAGTGTAATGAATATGCAATTCATTACTGTAGAGGCTGCTCCTAGCGAGGACAGCCCAAGCACTTCGCGTCAGGATGGTTCGGCCTACACTTTCGCACCGAACCACTTCCGAGTCGCCCATCACCAATCGCGACATTTCCGAGCCACGCACATCACGAGGTTCTCGCCTAGCTAGTTTCCGCCCTATAAATGCTCGTTTCCTTCATTGTTTCTTCATTCGGTAATCACAGTCTCTCTATAGAAGTCTTCCGCGCACTCTGTTTAGTACAACTCATAACACGCGACGTCCAATCTGAACGTTCACTGACCTGCCACTCTGTTTCCAACACCGAACGAACCTAACGAGAAGCGCGCTTCGTTCTTGGGCAGTACGGAACGGCGTATCGCCGCATGAGCAACGGCCATGGAGGTGTCGCGAGCCATCGCTCTCAACAACACCCCGCCGCCTCCCTCCTTGCATCTCTCGCCGCTGCAGCGGCGAGCAGTGTCGGATGCGGCGGGCCGCGGCAGAAGTAGCGGGTGAGTTGGCATGCGCGCGAGCAGGGCATGAATGGCAGTGCAGCAGTGGTGAGCGTGCAGTCGCAAGGCCTCACTCCGCCACTGCACGCGCCGCCGCCGCTCATTCTCTCCCGCTCGCTGAACCTCGTTCTCCCACCGTTCCGCAGCCCCCCTCTAACCCCTCCACCACCTTCCCCGCACCGCCCCTTCCCTCTCCTCCCGCATCTTCCGTTCTTCTCCGCCCCTCGTCGGGACATCCGCTCGCCTCGCTCTCACGGCCCACCCACCCACCGCCCGCTCCCTCTCCACCGCTCTGATATTCCCTTACTCCTCCTCCTTCCCGCTTTCCCCCATTCTTCCCGCTTTCCCCCATTCTTCCAGTTTTCCCCCATTCTTCCCGCTTTCCCCCATTCTTCCCGCTTTCCCCCATTCTTCCCGCTTTCCCCCATTCTTCCCGCCCTCTCAACCTCCAGCCTTCCGTCTCTTTCCTCTCGCCCTCTGCGCACCTCACTCTGCGCCTCCCGCCCACGCCTTCCTGTGCGCCCCGCCCTGGGGGAATGCCACGCCTCAGGGCTAAGGGGGAGCGGAGCGGCGCAGCCAGGGGAAGAGCGTCTGTGGGGGGCACAGCAGGCGGAGGGGGAGAAGGAAGGGGCTCGTGGTAGGGGAGGGAGGCAAGGGGGGGTGGTGGTGAGGGCAGGGGGCGGTGGGGCTGGAGATGGGGGTGCGGGAGCGGGCCAGGATAACGATGGGTTGGATGCGGTGCTGGCGAAGGTCGTGTGGGCTGGCTTCGGCCTGTCATGCTCTGGCTCTTCGTGCTGCCATTCGCTCCTGTGAGCCCTTCTCTTCTGCCCACTGCTACAACTTGTGTTGGACCCTCGTGCCACAACACCCAGCACCGCCACATGCTGCTCCCTCACCCCATCGACCCCCTTCCTCACGTCTCTCACCCTCGCACTCCCTCCGCGCCATGCATCAATGAGCCGTTCCTCTTCTCCCCTCTCGCGCCCCTCTTTTCCCCTCTGGCTGCGTGGAGTGGATGTGCGGCATGGCAGGGCGACCCGGCGTGGAGGATAAGTGAGGGCACGGTGCAGGAGGTGAGGGACCTCTCGCTCAACTTCTTCTACGTCCTGCCCGCCCTCAACGCTGGTGAGTCGTGCTGGGTGCACTGGACATTGCATTGTTGGTGGTGCTTTTTCTCTTAGCCTTCCCTCCACCACAACATCATTAGCCAATAACCCCTTACATTTGCCAGTCGTTTCTCTCTGTCCCATGTTTTTCTCCGTCTCTTCCTCTCTCCCTGCAACCCCAACTTTCATGCCCGATTTTCCTGCAGCGGGCATTCATGTGCTGGAGGCACCGCATCTGCACCCTGTCAGTCCCACTTCTCACCACCCGCGCCCACCCCTCCTTCCCCTCTCTCACCACCCTCACTGGCCCCCTCTCTTTTTCTCTCTTCCCCCACCCTCGCCCCAACCCTCTTCCTCCCTCTTCTTCTTGCGTTCGCTTTCTCTGTCTGCTTCCGTCTCATGCATTTCAGTCGGTTGCTCATGCATCCACCACATACAACCAGTGGCACCACACCACAATCTACATCTCTCTTTCCTTGTATGCCGTTGTGCGCGCATCGTCCACCCCCCCTCCCACCATATCCGCCCACTCCACCCTGCTCTCATTCCCACGAGCACCTCTTGGCCCGTCGGCCCCCCTCGCTTCACCAGATTGCGGCCTAAGCCCGCCCGTGCACCCTTCTCCCCCTGTGTGCGGCACCAGGTGGCGGAGGCACTGTTCAACGTGGTCAACGCCTGGAGCCTGCTCTTTGGCCCGCTGCTGCTCGCCGACCCCAGGCGCACCCGCGTGGGCGCCAACCTGCCCGCGCTCTGGCTGGGCCAGATGTTCCTCACTAACGGTGCGCTGCAGGGGCACGTGCGCCAGGTGCTGGGTGGAGGAGGATGAGGGAAGCAAGCACCAGGTGGTGGGGGAAGGGGGAAGGGAGAGGGAGGGGACGAATCCAGCATCTCGCTTCTTTATGCATCCCCATTCCATTCCTCTCCTCACCTCTTCCCCATGCGGTCCCCTCCTCACTCCTCTTCCCCCTCCAACCCTACCTGCACCACCCCTCTTTCCCAACCCCCTCTCTCCCCCAGTGTTCCTCATCCCCATCATGGCCCTGCGCCTGCGCCTACCACCCCCGCCCCACTCCACCACGCCCCTGCGTCCTGCCGCGATCGCCACCTTCCTCTCCTCTGCACCGCTGCCCATCGCCCTCGTCTCCTCCACCGTCGCCCTCGCATCGCTGTTCTGGGCAGCCCTCGCCCGCCCCGATTTCGCCCCTCCAGACCTCACTGTACGCGCAGCCTTCCTCGCGGACTACCTGGGCAGCAACCGCCTGGCGTACGCGTTCGCATGGGACGTGCTGCTCTACTCGCTATTCCAGCCCTGGCTCATTGCGGATTGCCTCTCCGCCCTGCGCCGCTCACGGCCAGCAGAGGCAGCAGGTGGGGATGAGGGGGGAACGACGTCTGGGGATTATGATGCGCTGCTGGCGCTGCTGCAGTGGGTGCGGTTTGTGCCGCTGTTTGGGCTCGCTGCATTCCTCTGTGCGCTGCCACGGCTGAGAGCCACCAGTGAATTGCAAGGGCAGGAGTGAGCGTAGGGGTTGGGGTGCTTGTAGGTGGGGGATGGGAGGGGTGGTGGTGGGTGGGAGGAGCAACGGCGCGACGTATGTGCTGGTGGCAGCAGCAGGGTGTTGAAGTTGTGCTGGTGGTTGTGGTGTGCAGTGGAGATCAGGTGTGCGTATGATGTTGCACCAATTTGAATTGCAACAGCTTCGAGGTGGCAGGAACCAGTATCGGTATGACAGCACGGCTTAGCAGAGTGAAGTGAGTCACGACCTGGATTAGTAAAGGGCTACTACTTGGCCAACCACATTGGTTGGACTGTGGACCACAAGTGTGCCTGACACCCTTGTCCAAAGGCTGGTTCTTCCACTGCTGCTCCTTTACGGGGTTCAAATTGGCAATGTACGATGGGCGCCAGGCAGTGTACTTGGCCGTCATCCAAATGTTCAAATCAAACTACCGGTACATGGCTGGCTGGGATAAAAGAGATGCACGCAACTGAACCCAAATGGAAATGACACGCTGTACAATGATAACTGCTGTAGTCTATCATGCAACTTGTTAAACAGCTGTTCCCGCTTGAGCACACAGCAACGCAAGTTACCCTAAACCTAACAGCAAGCACAAAGGTGGTGGGGGGCACATGCTGGAGAGAAGGCAGGCAGCACCTGCAGCACCCATGTGAACCGTGCGGTGCAGTGCGGTGCCTTTCTCCAACAGCTGTGTGGCGCAAGAAGGCCCTCTTGACGTGCATGGGTGCAAGCAGCAAGGCACGGGTGAGTGGGGCGAGTGTGAGCAACGCGCCCTTGAAGCCGGGCTCACCATGTGCCGTGCCTGTGTCTGTCTGTGCATGCCATGGCAGCAAGGCGGGGTCGGGCAGGCTCCGGGCCCACGGGCCTTGAGGAGACCGCCGTCATATCGCCCTCTGCGCTCAACCCCCTGCTGCCCACCCCCTGGCAGAGCAACACCCATGTCACTGCAGGTGTCTCTACCACGGGGGAAGAGCAGCCCACGCGTGTGCCGCACACCCGCTGCATCTCCCACCACGCCTCCGTTACAACCCCTCTCTCTCGTTCTATTCCACTCACTGCCTGCACGTGCGCACCATGCATGACAGCTCATGTGTGCGCACAGCGTGCAGCAGAGCTAGAGAGAGAGAGAGAGAGAGAGAGCGAGGAGGAGTGGGGAAGAAAGCAGCGGGCGCTTAGCCTCAGCAGCCGGTCTTGAAGGGGCTGAGGCCGGAGCGGCGGGTGACGCGCAGGGAGGTGAACTCCTCGCTCATGGTGGGGTGGATGCCCACCGTGGCGTCAAAGTCCGCCTTGCACGCCCCCATGCGCATCGCCACCGCGTACCCCTGCCGTGGAGGGGTGAGAAGGGGGGGGGGGGAGGGGGGGGGGGGGAGGGTGGTGTGCACGGGGGTTGCACGGGGCACAGGGCACGGAAGCGAAGAGCGCGAGAGGGCGCTTTCATTCGGGTGGCACTGGAATGGCATGTCAATGTGCATGAGGCTGAGGCGGGCATGCTGGGAGAGGTGTGGAGTGGTCCAATGCAAGGCAGCGTGAGTGGAGTGGAAGGCAGTAAATGGCCACAGAGCTGACATTACACAAGAAGCAGCATGAAGGTACCACCTTCTGCCCCGAAGCAGTGCAAGTGACCGACCGTTCACGGAGCAGCCTCCACGATCACTGCGCTACGAACCCCTTGACAAGGTCTGTAGTATCTTCATGGTTCTCAGCTGACCTATACTCGATGATGAAGGTTACACGATGACCTTCATTGACGCCATCACTCGGTCCGTCTGGGTTGTCAACACCGATTTGTGTCCACGAGCCTTCGATTGCTTCGTTCTATGGATTAAGAAGGCCGAACGCCAATCCGGACTCAAGCTCGAAAGCTTCCGGACTGACGGAGGGATGGGGTAATTAACAAAGGACTACTTTGGCGCGAAGGGAATTGAGCACCTAGTCTCCCTGTCCTATGCACACGAACGACAAGGAGTGGCAGAACGGACAAACAGGAGACTCGCAACAAGGATGCGGACTCTTATGAAGCAGTCTATGATCCCTACAAGGATCTGGCCATTCACCATGAACCACGCTACGCGACTACACAACATGCAGTCATCATGAAGCCCTCTAAACAACACCTCTCTACACAAGGCTTGGACAGGCATAATAACTGACACACGTCTACTCCGTGTCTTCGGCTACATGGTACAGTACAGACCCCACAGTGCCCGAACCGGAAAATTCACTGACCGAGCCTGCTATGGAATTCACCTTGGAATCTCACATGTATTCGAATCATGGATCGTCCTGGATTACGTGACACACGAAGTGACAAAATCGTGCGACTGCATCTTCTACAAAAATACTGCAGCACTGCGAAGCTGACGAGGCTCACGAAAACATCTTCACCGGCCACCAGAGCTTCGCCACGGCACAAGACAAAGCCGACGTGGCAGACGATACACTTGACGTCCCACCCAACGAACACTATTCAAACATCCCCCCTACAAGCCCTCTACGAACTCCAACCTTCATTTCAGTGTCTCAATACGATCCCGATGATATAGCTCGTGAAGCCCACAACTACACCAGGATGGCGCGCCGATCTCCTGATGCTGAGTTACCGGCTAACATCAACTCGCACGACACCATTCGCCACGATGCTGACGATAACGAAGACAACGATGCCATCAAAGTAACCAGTACACACGACCTGGATCGGCTCGCTGAACTCAGTTCCAACAAAACCGGACTTCGCACCCCAAGAGAGCCCACCACCATGCGTCAAGAACTGCAAGGACCCGACAGTGAGAAATGGCAAGAAGCCATGAATGCGGAAGTGGAAGCTCTCTAGCGGAGCGGAACCTGGAAGATGGTTCCATGCTCAGCAGCACGTGGGAAGAAAGTTTACAACGGCAAATATATTTTCTGCATCAAAACCAAGTAGGCTCTTCAGGGTACCTCAGTGAGGGAATTGAGTGTAGAAGCAGACGAACTCGTCAACAGTAACGTTATGAGAGTGAAAGAAGCAGTAAGACGAGGGGTGGTAAAAAACCAATCAGGGGCGCCAACAGGAAATCCAAGGAAGACACACGGGAGTGTGCGAGCTGCGAGCTTGTCCGCGGTGTGGAGATTCACTCTACAACGGTGGGAGCTAGACTATGGGGTTGGCACGAGTTTTGTGAGTGTGATCGTAGCTTTGCCTGCGTTCCTTAGCACTTGCACATTCACGGGAAGAATTGGCAAGAGTTTTCACTAGCAAAGTTGGGATAACATAATGATTAAACAAGCAATGGCAAAAATGACTACATCAGAGCCTTGCAATCTAGTAGCCTGGCAGGTCAACCGTAAGCACAGCAAGGTCGACAGCCTGCCAGCGTTGCATAAAGGAACCGCGCCAGCGCTGCAGAGAGGCGATCTGCCAAGAGAGCAGGTCGACGGCGTGCCAACGCTGCAGCAAGGCGTCCGTCCAGCGTTGCACCCGTAGATGACAGCAGCGCACACGCTCGCAGGTGCTCGCAGACGATTGGCCCGACATGCACCGTCACACGTCATGTCGGCTGATGCCTACGCCTGATGAGCCATAGTATCCCGAAGTTGAGCAGGTTACCTGGTTGACCGGTTCGACCACCCGGCGCCCTGGTCATGACCTCTCTCGTCGACCATTCCTCCAGTCGAGGAACACCCTGGTCGACGGACCCTCCCGTTGACCAACATGGTCAGCCGCGGCCGCCGAACCCCCACCGTCGACAGCCTCTTCGACAGCCTCACGCAGGTCGACGATTGCCTTCGTCGACCACACCGAAGGCAGGTCGACGAACCCCTTCGTCGACCACGCTTGTCGAACTCTGCCGCCGGCTTCCTGTCATCGGCGGCTTCGCAGCAGTCTTCTGTAGGTCGACCAATTCCGTCGACCTGCACATGTTGACCTCTGCGGATGGTCGGCCGCACCTCCCACGCATCCGACCACAACGTCGGCTTCGCCCAAGCGAGGGCGGGGCCAACACCCGATTTCCATCAACACGCGCGTGGGCCGCGGACTTGAGCAATGCAGCCCTAGATGCGAAACGCAAGCGCGACAAAAAAGGACCTAGTCTTGAGGAGGGTCGGCGGAACATGTGGCCGTGAGACACGAGGAAATGTTTAAGCTGGTGCACGGCATGGCAGATTGTAAACGGCCACAGAAATGTGGGGGCATTGGCTTGAGTCATGGAGGTACGAGAAATCTCCATGACCAAGCCAGTGCCACTCAGCGACCCCGTTCTGTTGCGGCAAGTCTAGCTGCGAGTACGACTGGTGGATGCCCTCCGCATGACGAAACGGCTAAAGCAATCGAGGCAAACTTGCCACCATAGTCGGAGTATAGACGAAGCATGCGCTGGGCACGTATGCATACGAGCAACGAGATGAGAGCATCATGCATGTCGGCCTTCCGCTCCAATGGAAACATCATGGTGTAGCGGGAGAAGTCGTCCACAATGACCAAGAAGTGGCGCTTGGTCCAGGGATAGGGGCAGGGCCCCATATGTCAATGTGCAGGGTCTTATGAGGCGCAGTAGCTGTAGTAAACAAGGAGAAGTGAGGGGACGCCGCAGCCTGCCATTTATGCAAAATGCGCATGGCGGGGTAGACGAGGGAGGGAGAGGGGGGAACGACGGCAGTAGACCGGAGACAAAACCGTGCAGAGCCATGTGACGGAGACGTAGGAGGGCAGGGTGGCCTAGAAGGTTTTGCCACACGAGCGACGGGTGAGTGAGCGACCGACACGAGCAGGACGCAGCTACCTGGCTAGAGGTAGGAGCTTGGGTGGATGCGGCGTGCAATGTGAAAACACCTATCGCAGGGTTCCGAAGAAACGTGGCAAGGGGTGCCCCATTGGTGGCGTCAGTACAAGTCACAAACCACTCATGTCCAAAGAACGTGGTGGTGACACCGAGGTTCTGAAGACGACCGACACCCACAAATTTCCTGAAGAACGAAGCGATGTGCAGACCAATTTGGGAGCCAGAGGGAATTGCTGAACACGGGACTGAAATAGCGTTGTGGGCGACAACCGGTCGAGAGGAGAGGTCGGCCAGGGAGACTGCGACTGGGGCTGGAAGCGGCGTGAGGGCGGTGCAATCACGAAAGAAGCACTGGGATGCGCCAGCATCTAGCGTGAAGAAGAGGGAGGAACCGACAGTCGTCGTACATGGGCAAGCAACAGCAGAGCATCCTACACCAGACACAGATAGAGAACCTAGTGTATGTACACATGCATAATTGGATCCGGCAGCACCATAGTCATTAGCATGCATGGCAGACATAGCAAACATAGCAGATCCTATCTAATTTATGTCCAAATCAAAAATTCGAACACCCCTGCACAACAGTGTAAGCCTGTCCTGGGGGGGCGGCTTAGCAAAGTGGGCGCGAAAGAGGTCGTCGAGGCGTCTGAAGCAGCGGGCAATGGATAGACCGGTGCGGCCGCAAACGAGGACCAAAAAGAATCCGGTACAGGCAGGGCTCGACGTGGGGGAAGGGGGGGGGGGGGGGGGGGGGGGGGGAGGGGGGGGGTGGAGGGGAGGAGGCTTGTGACACCCAGCTGGCATACCCTCCACCACGGCCAGTGCTCCCCGGGGCAAGGAAGTCCCAATGACGCTTGGAGACCCACTGGAGGATCAGCTACTGCTGCTATTGCTGTTGCGATTGCTGGAGCTGTTGCGGCTGCTGCTGCTGCTGCTACTGTGGCTGTTGCTGCTGAGTCACCACCTGGCCCCCTGGACCAGCACCTCCTACTCCAACACCCCGAGGACCATCACTTCCGGCGTCAGCAACTCCGGGCGTACTAGTACCTCCACTCCTCCACGAGTACACCTACCAGAGGCAGCTGCGGCTACTGTTAACGGGAGTTGGGTGTTGTCCCCGTCCTCGCTTGGGCGGGGCCGACTTCGTGGTCGGGTGTGCGGGAGGTGCAGCCGACCTACTGCAGTGGGCGACGCCGACTTGGGCGCGCAGATCGACAGAGTTGGTCGACCAGCACGGGGTCACTGCAAAGCCGCCGACGACGGGATGCCAGCGACCGACTTCAACTGGTGGTCGACGATGGGGCTCGTCGACCTGGGAGGGGCGCCGACTTAGGAGGGCGCCTACTTTGGGAGGTCGACTTGGCGAGGTCGACCTAGAAGGGCGCCGACTTGGTGGCGCCGACCTGGGAAAGCCGACTTGGTGCAGTCGCCGAACAGCAGGTCTGGTCGACCAGAAGTGGTCGACCTGGGGAGTGGCCGACTTAGTGAAGTCTGCTGGTGATCGTCGACTGAGGTGGTCGATGAGCACGTACAACTGTTGGTCGACTTCTACCGAGCAAGTTGACGCCGACCTGGTGGTTTCCAGGTCGACCAAGTTACTAGGGCAACGAGGTTCTGCGGGGTGCGCGGCAGTCGCCCAGGTAGTTCTGGCGAAGTCGACTCGGAGGTGGTATCCCGAGGTCGACGTGGCTGATCAGACGCAGTCAATG